AAATCGATCGGGTTATATCCGAAGCGCGGGTGACGGAGAGGAAGAGAGAGCGAGAGAGAAAAGGAAGGGGTGCTTGGAGTTGGCAGGCGACGAACATAAAAAGAAAAAAAGCGCGCAAGCGCACAAAGAAGCTGCGCTGAGAAAGCAGCAATAAAGTGAGGGGGTGTCAGTTCGGAGTTCGGGACCGGGGACAGCACTGCACGGCGGGGAAAGCAAAAGGGGGGGCTCGGCCACTTAGGCTAATCCTGAAGGCTGAACCTCCAGCAGTTCCTTCCCATTCCCGGAAAGTGCTGGGCCACCTTCGAAAACGTCTTTCGTGGCATAATTACCACGCCTATTCCAAGTTTCCTCAGACCTGACTATATGTTACGTTACCAAGCAGGAGCATGAAATAATTATTTCTGCACGCAATGAGGCCACGTACGACGGTGAGAGGTGGGAGTGTGGACGTGATGACCTTTTAATTACGGTTTGAGGAGAGTAATGCTTATACTTGCAACCTATATAGGAGTGAGCACGGGAAAGAAGGTATTCAGTACAGTGCTTGGCTACAGTGGCTTACTTTTGTTTGCACAGAGGCATGTCGGGGTAGTACACAAGTTTTTTTTCTAGATGACACTACATGCAAGTACAACTTGCGAAAACGAAGTTCCAGATTTCCACCGCAACAACTAATAGATTTTTTTGTGCCCCTTCTATGCCCTGTCCTGTCGTTCTGCGTGTTGCTCATTGTTGTTTATTCTGCGCCACGACTTTTCTTCAGTTACGAACTGAGAACAACAAACAAGCTGAAAGCAAGTTCTTCAGTTACTACGCAGTTTTTTTTTTTTCAATTCCACGCTTCCTTTGACATCATCACTACCTCACCTCTAACCTTTCTCTTTCCACCTCTACTAGAAAATTAGAAATTTAAGTAGTACTAGTAGTAGTAGTAGTAGTAGTAGTAGTAATTTTCGAGCAAGTAAGAAAACGGCGCTAATTCCCGCAACTCAGTAGGGGTGAGCACGGCTCAGCGCCTGGACGGGAAGGTGGAAGAGGTGGCTGAAAATAAGTAAAGCCCCTCTGCAGAGTGGCTTCAGACACCGTTCATATCGTGTACGCCATCACCCGTAGCGACAAAAATTGCCTTGTTGTTGCTCTTCGTTCCTCCACCAGTAAACTCCTCCTACAACCTCCCCCACCGATGTCAGTGCTTTTTGACCCTTTCGCGAGAAAAACGGGGGAGGGGGGGGGGGTACGCCGGGCCTTTTACCCGCGAAAAAGATCCGCAACGGGCGAGGAAGGGCAGCGGGTAGAGGAAAGGAGAAGCACGCCGTTATCAGCTGATCCTAGCGCTACGCGGTGCTCGCCCGCTGAATAACGTTGGCTGCTATAAAGCGAGAGAGAGAGAGAGACAAGAGCTTGCGCAACCGGTGCTTGCGTCCAGGGCAACAGCGCGTGTGTAAACACCAGTCCCGAGCAGCGCACTCTCGACGTCGCTAACGAGCAGCGAAAGACTTGTTTCGAGAGCAAAGAAGTTTTTTTTTTTTTTTTTTTTTTTTTTTCTCCGAAAAGCGGACTTACGCGGCGGGTACCGAAGATGGGAAGCTGCAGAGTCTAAGGACTGCGGGCTTATATTTCGCAGCCGGATCCCCCTCGTGTTTACACGAAGAAGGAGAGAGAGAGAGAGAGAGAGAAAGGAAGAGAAGACAGCACCGACAGGAATGCAAGAGAGCTCCCTCGTGTCTTTCGATGTAAACAATGCGACAGTGCTAAGGCGTGCGAGGCGGCGCGCGACGACGACAGGTTTGTTGAAAACGCGACAGGTACGGCACGAGATTCCGCGGGCCAACAGCTTCGACGTAACGGTCGATTTGACAAACAACGATTTCCCGTGACGTATGCATGTGGGAGGTATGCATGTGGGCGGAACATGGGAGAGGCCTTTGTCCTGCAGTGGACGTAGTCAGGCTGATGATGATGATGATGATGATTCCCCGTGAGGCGGGAAAAGCAACAGTTTCTGCGTGAACATTTGCCACCAACCAAACCGACCAACCCGTCCTGCATGGCGTTGCACCGACGAGGGCGCTGGTTCCATTCTCGCGCCACAGCAGCCGAAGTTCAAAGGGGTCGATAATTTCAATCCGTGCAATAAAAATACTGAGGATAGTCTAGTTGTTGCGTGACCTGCGAGATATTAAAGCGCTCGTTGAGCACCGTGTCATTTTAGCGCTCTAATATCTTGTTATCACGTGCGTACTTTGTGCACGCAAAGCAGCCACAGGGTCTCCCATCAACATGCCTTGCAACAGGCCACATGCAACCACATGCAACAGGTCAGACTTTTTTTTTTTTTCAGCAATGGACGGTTCTGGGTCGGTAAATATTCGAAGAAACAAGCACAGTTCAGATCTCGTTTTCTTTTCACGATCACGCGAATAAAAGATAACAATATTGGTCATTGCAGCTTGTTCTATGTATGAAGCGAAAAAGTGAGTGACACACACATTTATGAGTGACCCCTTTCGGCGGTAAGTGCTGGCTTACCACGTGCATGATTCCCTTTAAAGGGACACGTTGACATTATTTTTTTTTGGGGGGGGGGGGGGGGGGGGTGATAAGACTCCTTTTAAAGGGTAACGTTTACTCGATCTTTCCTGCCGCGACTCTGACGATAGCATAATGATCCCCAAAGTAAGTTCACGTCTCTCTTTAGAGAGAGTGATATAAGTGACATGTTAGGTCTTTCATGAAACAGTTATTTTTTGAAGTTTTTTTTTACAGCGCAGCACTAATTGCAATGCCATACGTGCGGTGAACCGACAAAATGTGTAAGCAGTTCTAATCTGCTCATACACACGGATTTGATACGTAAGTTTCAACGCAACGGCCGGTGTTGCTCTCGCTCCCTGTCTTATTGTCTCGGTGTAATGTACTACGGTACGTTTCATGGCACACCAAGTGTGGCAGAGCTAGAGCGAACGCCGATCCATCGATCCCGGTCTAAAAACCGCACCACGCAGGCCTAGGCGCCGTGGGCAGGCGTCGTCGGGAAGTGAGAAAGAAAGAAAAAAAAAAAAAGGCCGGAGAGCCAAGCCCGACCGCTTCGGAAGCCCGGCGCACATACAACACCCCGTTCTCTTTTATCGCCCCCCGCAGAGGACTTCCCAATCTCCGGGAGCTGCTTCCTCGTCGCTCGTTGCAGTGCGAGGGGCAAAGTCTGTACGTGTGTATGTGCCAGCGCGCGCTTGTGTGAACGGCGTTGCCTCCCAGATAACCCCGCCCGCCCGGCCGCCAACCCCGGGAATATCGTATCTCGCCACGTCGCCAGCACCCCCCCCCCCCCAACCCCCGTCTCTCCTCCGTGCTACTCTTCACGTTCACGTCCTCTTTTTCCATGGGTCTCCGTTTTTCATCGATTCCAAGTTCTGGTAGCTCGTTCCACGAACAGCTAAGCTAGCTGCTGCTGCTGCTGAAGAATATACGGTTCCCGTCAAGTGTTCGCAGGGCAAACAACGACAGCGCACTGCCGAGGTGGCGAATCCGAGGTACGTGCGAAGTGCGTGCGTGTATAGTGCACACGCGATAATCAGAAAAAACGGGCCGAGTACGCAAATGTGAAACCCGCGATAAAACGAAAAACTGCGACGGCCGTCCATAGTACCAACCCAAGCAACGTTCGTTAAGAAGAAGAAACTTCACAAAGATTTCATGTTCTAGAGAAACAAGTTCGATAACTCTATATAGCAAGTACTGGAGCAAGCATTGATACCCCTCCCGCAGTCACCTCGGCGCCAAAGACGCCCCCGATTTCATTACCCCACCCAAGATCGCACAGGCTCTTCTAGCACGACAGAACTACAATCCTGGCCTCATCTCTGGAAGGAACATAACGTGAAGTACAGTACGCCTGTACATGCGAACACATTTTGACAGAGACCATCTATAAGCGGCGTCCATAGCCATAAAGTGATTAACGTCAACCGAATGAATTCGACTGCGAAGAGAACTATATCTGGTACGTGCTACATGCGCCTTGCATTGCGAGACGTACTTTGAGATGATTCCTTTGTAACACCGCACAAAAAGAATTCAACGATATGTATTTCAGTACACGTCAGTCACAGTGTCTACCCCTCTTATCATGAGAACACACATGCGTGAACTCAGAGTGTTTCACTTAGTGTTTCACAAGGCATTCGCATCGACTCGCAACGACAGAACAGCTTCTCCCGTGCCCGCTTGCGGAAGAGAATCGCAAGCGGGCACGGGATCGCTTGAGTGGACACGGAATCACTTGAGTCTAGCGGTCTTGGGCATGCTCCTATAGACCGACAGTGAGCCGGCGCGTACTTCAGAAGCGCACCGATTTGGGCTTGTTGGTGCACGCAACATCACGGGAAAGCGGAGTGCACACGTCGATTAGGGCCTACTCCTCAACAAAAAAGTCAGGTTAGGTCAGGTTGGGTTAAGTTAGGTTACCCACCCAAGTAACCCGTGCACCTCTCGTGCCGATAGCGTCAAGCGCTGTACGCTATTCTTAACTAAACCTTGTACAGTCGGCGCGAGACTGGTCGGAACTGATCACAACAACGGCAAGGAATCATTTGCTAAGGTTAACTAGAAAGCCATGAGGCTAGGTTTGGTCTACAGTTGGATCAGGTTAGCTGCCACCACATGGGTGCGCAGGGGAAGCAAAGGTTGATTGTGGCGCCCCCTCCCTCATTGAGTCAACGTACGGGACATATATTTGGCGACCCCCCCCCCCCCCCCCTATTTTATTTTAGGTGACTAGGGGAGCTGTCGCCCCTGTGTCTCTCCACCCCCCTCCCGTGCGCACGCCAACAGATACGACGACACACAAGTACTTCTAGTGCCATTCATGTTGGCTACATCGTGCACAGTCAGCGTGAGACAAACTTGAACTAATTGCAATCACAGTCAGCGTGAGACAAACTTGAACTAATTGCAATAACAGCGAGTAATCATTTGCCAAAGCTGCCCACTTTGGGACTTACCACGGACGCCAACGTCGAATGCTGCAGCGTTGTTTACGAAGCAGCGCCGGACGAGAGCACGGAACTCTGCCGCTCCTGTAACGAAGATGAAGAGGTCTCAACTAACGCGGTCTTGGAGGATGTCACCATGATTATCATCGAATGCACCACTCTTGGTCAGTTATTGGGTCATCAAAAACAACGCAGAATGTAGATCGCAGCTGACGCCATGTCTTAGCCATAGCTAATATAAAGGCACAAGAAGTATACAGCCACACAATCCGCTTTGATTGCCTTCTTTGATGGCCCGTACCCATTGCCGGAATCAGGTCAATCTACTCAAGATGTCAATGACGCTGCATATGAAGCTACGCTATTGCACAAATACAACGCAATAATACAAGAAATAATGAGAAGACACAAATCACGTATCGCAAGAGACTTCCCTTATACAACTAAGATTTTCCTCCGCGGCTGAACACTGAACGATCATCCCATGCAACGGCGTATAATCGTACCCCCCTCGCCCCCCCCCCCCAAAAAAAAACAGGAATGGGAAAGCGTATACGTCTATTTGTTGGCAGTTTACAGAATGTAAAGCTGGACGACTGAGAGACGAGCTTGTGGGCGGCCTATAGAATATTAGCAATAAGCATCGTCTTAATTAGCAAGGTCCTCAACCACGGCTGCCGTCTTTCTATATTCCTTTCTTGCTTTCTCTCTTTTCTCTTTCATTTATCTGTTCTGTGCATGACTTCTGTTTTCTTTAGAAGCAACAAGTCTTTGAAGAAACTCCTATAAATTGTACTTTCATCGTGTCAACCTCAGTGGGCGTGCTGACAACAAACCTTATAATATTATCCGCCAAATTACTAGGAGACACACAAAAAAAATGTACCTCGTTGTTGCACTGCACGTCGTCAAAAGCAAAGTCTGTATTGTAAGATGAAGAGAGAAATTATAGCGAGCGCCAGCCGCACTATTGCGTTGTACGCACTAAGTGCTGCCTATATATATTTTACTGTCACGCGAAGCTGTGGAACCCCTCGAAAAGCTTAAACAGCTATGTTTTTGAACCAACAAAGCAAAACATTCAATCGACTCCGAATATTTGGCACAGTCCTGGGGAGTAGCAGAGCAGACCCTATATATATATATATATATATATATATATATATATATATATATATATATATATATATATATATATATATATATATACAAACTGTGGCTCATGCACACAAGGGGATTGGCGAAGAAGCGGTTAGATTTTAAAGAAAATTTTGAAATTAAAGTTCAAGCTTCGAATAATTAGGGCAGAAAAAAAATAAACGTATAAAAATTAGAAATAGAATAAAAATGTAGAAACTATTTCAAGCAATGAATCCGAGAATCTGGAGAAAGAAAAAAGAAGTCGTCGGAAAAGCAGATTTTGTAACCTAAATCTCGTTGAACATTTGAGAAATTCCTGTAATGCATCAGCAACCTTTCCGTCACTGTGCCTAGAGACAGAACCCCGAAGTAGAGTACATTTTGTGCATTGAGATCTAATCCACGGACACAGAAAATGACAGCCAAAGTAACTTTGTGCAAGTTAGAGTACCTCTTACAGGAAATGAGACAGTGCTGTGTTGTCTCGTGTACTCCGCAACAAAGAACAATTAGGGGAAAGCTGCCAGACCAGTTCTTTGTAGATAAAGATTTTCGATGTACGAGTCTGATAAGGTAGTCTGATAAAGTAGACTTCAATTGCTTGTTACTGACGTGTTTCAGTATCCGCCTAATTGTTGAGGGCATCAGACCAGGCACAATCTTCCTCTTCGCACAAACGCAGAAACAAACGCAGTCCACATCGCAGGGTTCCAGCCCGCGGGTCACGTGCCCGACTTCACCCACACTCGCGGCGGCTGCGCGCACATTTTCTCTCTTTATTATTATTATTTCACTTTTTGTTTACTTCAAGCAGCTCCCTCGGATCTGATTCCGGAACGTAACAGCAGCGCGGCGCGCGGTTCTATATACGAAGACACGTCGCCAATCCGAGATGCACTGCACAGCCGGTGGCCATATACGAAGGTGCGGCTATCCCTCCGTGTATATGTACCACCAGCTCGGGTGCTGGGAGGGCACAATCCGAAATCGCCACAAACGTAGCACGAAGAAGAAGACTTACGAAGCGAGCAGCGGGTATGTAAGAAAACGAAAAACGACGAAGAACAAAGTAGGAGAAAGTTGGGACAATTCTCTTAAAAGCCGGGGAAGCTGGCGCGGCGGCAGCGGGACAGCAGATCGGTGGGCCCCGGGGATTTCGAAGAGACGCCGTTTGATTTGACGTTCCTATAAGCGTATTCGCCTGCTTAGGATGTGGGCTTGCAGACCGTGGGGAGGGGGGGGGGGGTGAGGAGGAGGGGCGTCATGTGCTTCAGTCGAAGAGCGTAGTATATACAGCGGCATTGGTGATGGCTGCAGTACGTGTGCGCGATATCGATGGGAGCTAGCCGTCGGTCTGCGACGCTTTTCCTCGCCCTCACCTTACTACGTTTCCTTGTATACGTATATACATTCGTGTCAGACTTGAGAGGGCAGGCCCGCGTTGCTCGCTCGGCTCACATTTGTGGAGTGCTCCGTCGTCGGCGCCACAAGTGCGCTGCTGTAGCCTCCGAGTGACAGGATGGCCAGACGGAAGAGGGGAAGAGGGAAAGGAGCCACCGCCGCTTGAGAGGAAGCCTGCAGCCTCCTTCCTGCGATGCCCGCTCCTTTCGTTCTGTCGAAGTCTTCGAAGGGAGTGTCTTCCCTCTCCCTCTCTTCAACGCCGCCACTCGCCTTCGAACAGCAATAATATGGAAACAAGAGGCGCCACGTAGTTGGCTTTTTTTATTCGTTCTCCATTACTTCTGATCTGTTTTTATCGTCGTTCTGAACGTGACATAATTGAAGAGAAAATGGAGGGGCAGTATCGAATTTTCTGCACGCTGTGTGTGTGTGTGTGTGTGTGTGTGTGTGTGTGTGTGTGTGTGTGTGTGTGTGTGTGTGTGTGTGTGTGTGTGTGTGTGTGTGTGTGTGTGTGTGTGCGCCGCATATAGGTGGATGCTACCGATCATACTTCTGACCACTTTTTCATAATTCTGACGTTTTTTTTCGATATCTTTTTATGAATGCTCTGCTCCCAGAATTTAAAAAAAGAAGAAGAATCACCTCATAAAATACGAATACCATGAGGTGTCGTCACGTGGTCATGCCATAGAGAATGAAATTTGTGTTTGGTGGAGGAGTAAAACAAGTAGAAGCGAAGAAACATGGCCACTCAAGGAGCCATCCAAATGTGAACCGTATATGAATTAATAACGACCTTCTAAAGGAGAAAAAAAAGTATGGAAAAGAAACACATACGAGAGAAACTAATTTTAAAAACGGGAGGACCGGACGATTCTATTTCGAGCCAAAAAGAAATACAGTATCCATTTCTATGCTCTCTCACTCCCTCCTCTTCTGCCATTTGTCTCTCTTTCTCTCTTATCTTTCTTTCTTACTTCCAGTGATACATTTAGCAGTAGTCCTTTCTGCGTCTTCACCACGAAACCGTAGAGCCGTAGATTTATCTTAGCACGGTTCCGCAGGCGCATACTTATGCGGCCTTCGTTTTTATCATAATCTCGCTGTCGCCATTGCGACGATGCCACTCGCTGAAAAAAGTGGAGGGGGGGGGGGCATCCGAGCGGAATGAATTTTCGAGAACCGCAGTCGGTGGCCGCAACGGGCGCCCATGCGGACGGTGTTAAGAATTCGAGAGCCAGAGCTATTCGAAAATGAGTGCTTGCGCAAAATAGAAAAAGAAAAGAAAGATGGATGAGATTCGACGGGAAGTGATTCCAAATGGGAGGGGGTGGGAAAGGGTACATATGCGAAGCACAGGTGAGTGGAGAGAGGGGCGAGAAAGGAAAGAACAGTTGCAGGGGAGAGAGGTCAAATCGAGAAGAATTTAGTAGGGGTGTGCGAATATGAAATTTCTCGAATACGAATCGAATACGAATATTCATGTTCGAATATCGAATCGAATATCGAATATCAAAGGACAAACGCCTCTATAGTAACAATAATTTAAGATGTATTTATCTAAAAAAATACACAACAGCCTGTCTGTTAACACAACATGCACTGTTATTTGGAACACAATGCAAGTAATGACTAGCTGTTATCATGAAACATAATGACTACATGTTATCATGGAGGAATATGAGTTGCTCCACATGATCAGGCAGGAGGCGCTCCCTTCGAACAGAGACAACCTCCCCTGCCACTGAAAAGGCACGCTCGCTTGGAACTGAAGTGGCTGGTATGGGCAAGTACTTGGGGCAAAGCTTTGCCAGACTGGGGTATCTGAAGGTGCCCACAGTCCGCCACCAGTCACATGGGTCACTGTCTTTCTTCAGTAGGGCTTCTTCAGAATACGCTTTAATTTCCCATTCTGAAGTAGACAGTGGTGTACTTGCTACTTGACTATTTGCAAGATTATCAAATGCACTCCAAACATCTTAGGATGGCTGCACACACTGTTGTGGCTCCTGCACTTTTGCTGCTGGCTGCACGACTTCCACAGCAGGGCATAGGGCAACATCCTGAAACACCAGATCTTTCAGCCACACCAACTTGTGTTTGTTGTTTCTGAATACCGTTGACTTGAAGCGTGGGTCCAAAAACATAACCAAGCATGCTTCTTTGTCCTCGGTGTATAAGGGGAATCTGGTATTGAGAGACCTTGCGAGTTCCTTATGAAAGCCTGTTGTGCCGCTAAAGTAAAATGGCACTTATGGCAGCTAGCAGAACTGATCGTAGCGGCTGACAGCACTAGCCAACGCCGCTGACCCTACTAAGGTAGCACTGTGCACTACATGCACGTGCGTGCTTTAGCACGCACGTGCATGTAGTGCGTGCGTGCTTACGCACGACCGTGCACGACCGCTTGATAACGCATCGCTTGATAACGCACGACCGTGCACGTGCGTGCTTTAGCACGCACGTGCACGGTCGTGCGTTATCAAGCGATGTTTTGATGAGACAACGCGGCAACGGTTAAGCTTCGTTCCTGCACACGAGGTC